ATGGTCCATTGTCACCACAGCAGAAGGTTTCTAGTGCATTACTCCAGGGATCTTGAGCTTATGCTGTTTAATATTTTCATTAATGACATCAATAAAGAAATAGAGACTATATTTACCATTTTAAAGATGACAGCAAAGTGAGATAGATGGTACAGTTGGGATCCAAAAGGTTGTTGGCAGGCTAGAGCATTGAGCTAAATCTAGTACAATGAAATTCAGTAAGGATAAATGTAAAGTTTTGCACTTGGGTAAAAAAACCCAACCTCAACAATACAATATGGGGAAAAAGTGGTTAGATAGCAGTATTCTGGAAAGGATCTGGGTGTTTTGGTGGACTGCAAGCTCAATATGAGTCAGAAGCAGGATGTGGCAGCCCCAAAACCTAATGCAATCTTGGACAGCATTAGGAGCTTCTAGCATATGGAGGTGAGAATCCCCCTGGAATCTGTGCTTTTCAGATCTCATTTGTATTCAGCTCTGGATAACAGAGTTTAAGAAGGACATTGATTAGCTGAAGAGTATCCAGAGAAACCCAACTAGGATGGTGAAGGGCCTAACTCCATGACACATGAGGATAGGCTTAATGAAGTGAGCATGCCTAGACTGGAGAAAAGAACTGGGATGGAGGATAGGATATCTGTCATATTGTTTGAAGGACTGTGATGTGCAGGAGGTAAAAGACTTGTCCAACTTGGCCCCAGAGGGCAGAACCAGGAGCAATGGATAGAAGTTCCAAAGAGGAAAATGAAGAAAAACTTCCTCACAATTTGAAGAGTAGAAAGGGTTTCCTCACAAGCTGGTTGATCACCCCTCCTTGGAAGGTTTTAAGCACAGGCTAGATGCCCACTTGTCAGGTACATTAAAGCAGAGATTCTTTGATATAGGGATGGACTAGATGACCAATAAGGACTAAGATCTTGAAAAGGTCTAGATTTGGTTCACTTTTTTTAGCTGCTCTGACTACTAAAAGCAAGAATCTTTCTTAGAGAAATGCTGGGTAAGACAACCAAACAGGGCTCTACCTTGCCCTCTGCTTGAAGCTAAAACCTGAAAATGAATGGCTAAGAAAAAAAAAACCACTGCATCAAATTAGAGAAATAGGAAATTGTAGCATGTATTTAGATTAGACCTATGGTATCACAGTTTTCTTATCCTAGTCACTTTTTCATCCCCAAGTCTTTCATCCTTTAGTCTTCTGGACTGCCTAACAGTGATGAAGATGGTTTCCTCTCCACTTTTTTCCTAAAGAATGTGGTCTAAATGTACATTTCCAGAAGAGCAAATGCAACATATATATGTATGTATGTATGTATGTGTATATATATATGTGTGTGTGTGTGTGTGTGTGTGTGTGTGTGTACACACACACACACACACACATATCCAAGAAAGTTATATTGTCTTTTTCATAGTGAAATATGATGTACATGTGTATAAGAAGAGGATATGTACAGAATTTGATTATGTGTCTTTCTTCATGTACTTGAAATGCATACTATTTGTTTTCAAGAATTTTACCTTCAAGGTGATTGCCTCTCCTTAATGGCCGGTTTCCAATGACAACTAGGGAGAGAAGAAATAGAAGGGAATATCATGAATGTGTACAAATTCTTTTCTCTTCATCTATTCTCAACTTCATCATTCCTGACTTGTGGGAAACTTCTTGTATTTTTTTCACTTCTAAAATGTGCTTCCTGTTCTGCCTCTGACCTTATAGTTCTATATAAACATGAAGGATGTCTTCTTCCTTGTGTTCTAGAATTATTTTGCTTCTTCCACAGTTTTCCCTCTTCCTTAAAATTCTTCGTTATTGTCAGCTCTTTTCACAACCTCCATTTGAATGATTTCAACTTAGAAACTCCATTGCAAAGCCTTGACTCAGTTCCTTGCTTCCCTGAAAGTGCTTCTCTTCTCATAATATTTTCTCTTATCTGTCCCTTGGGTAGAGATTATGAGCACCAGGCATAGAGTCAGGTTTCTGATTTAATGTTTGTGAAGACCTTACTGCACTATTGGCAGTCAGTAAGAGTTTATGATGGATAATCATCATCATCATAATTCTCCAAATAAAATCTTTGACTCAAAAGTTGCTCACCTGTGGGTGATCACTTGTTCTTCTTAAATTTGTGGCTCTTTTGTCCTAAGAGTTCTAGAGACTAGAACCTTAATACTGAACCTCCTACTTCTTGCTTTCAGTAGTATGTATAGGCCAACACCCACCTAATGCCTTTAATTCATTCTCCTTAAAAATGGTGTTAATAGAAATGGCATTAAAGAGGAGTGTTCCATAGGAACCATGTTATAAATAGGTGATTTGCTCAGCACTATTAGAGCAGGGTTTTGTGACTTATCATTGGGGTTTGGTTATAATTTGTCACTGATGTTGTGAAAAATTAGCTCAGACTACCTTATATAAAGTGTAATAGCTATCTATGCTGCCTCCCAGGCCTCTTCTCTGTGTATCCAGGAGCTGTGTATTTCATTTCATGCCATGGAACTAAGACTACCTCTGATGTCAAGATGTGAATGTGACAGAAACAGCTTTACTGTTTCCTTTGGATTTCAGAGGAGTGCCTGACTCCTCACTGTCATTTATTGTATTTGCTGGAAGCCATTCTCTCTGCTTGGTTTTCAAAAATGTAGCAATCAAAGAAGAGACCAGTATGGTAGAAGGCAGTGTAACTGACAACTAGGTCTCAAAGGCTGTCTAATTTATATCTTGGGGACACAGTCAATAATTCATATATCTGACTTCCAAAAAGGTCATTGTGTATTCTCTATAATATTGGCCTTTGAACCAGCTAGACCCCATTTGGTGAGCTTCATATATTTTAGCCCTTGTCTCCAGACCTTCTGTTTACTGTTTATTGTGTGTGTTTAAATGCAAATCCCTGTAGCACTTACTAAACCACAAGCTAGCTTCCCTTACTCTTAATAGCTCACCTTCCTAACACAATACTCACATATATCCTTAATCTCACCTTATCAAATGTTTGAGGAAATGGTATTTGATATTACTAAGGAATCGAAGAACCTGATATTACAACCTCATCTGATGGAATATGACAGATTGCATTTTATCTTCTCTAACTCCTCAACTTCCCTTCCACCAAGGGAGTCAACTTTACTTACAAATCTTCCAATAGCATCCTTCCTCAGAATTCTGCCATTTGAGAATAGTCTTAATCCAAGGGATCTTGTAGGAATCTGAGTACCCAGAAAATCCACAGAGCATGACTGAGGAAAAGAAGGTGGAATTAGTAATCTTCCCAACAGGCTGAGTGGCTTTGACAATCCTTCCCATAAAGCTATCTCTATTCCCATTTACATGCCTTCTATGTTCCCAGGGCTCAGTACCAACCTGAGCAATAGTGAATCTACTGAACCACTGGGACTCTTGGCTAGTAGGGAAGACTACATCTTTGCTATAGCAACAAGATGCATAGCCTAGTTCAACTTTCATTTTAACATCACCTCCCCCATTAAGAGCTTTCAGTCAATGTTGGATGAAATTCATAGATTCTTTGTGTGATGAAAAGTCCTGATGGGATTTGGATTTCCAAGCTAAAGAACCTCTAACATTTGGGTTAAGTTTATCCCTCACACCAAGGTCTTTTGATGCTTGTCAGTTAAATGTTTTCTCATTCTTTCAGTAGTTTAGGGGAGTAGGGTTGTGACAAAGGCAGAATGTATGTGTGTGTGTGTGTGTGTGTGTGTATCTTCATTTAAGGGTAAGGAAGATAATTTTCACTTATCTGTAGAATGGAAGGAAGTTCATACTATTTATCATGAAGATACTTTTATTTTGAAACAAGGATCTATTTTTTTCTGTTTTCAAGTTCCATTCCATCATGTTAGCACAAAAGATGTCCATGTAGTATTTTGTTAGGAAGAACAGGCCACCTGAGCATTTTTTCTAGGAATCAGACAATTAGAGAGAATTGAAATGAATATTGCTAGTAGCAATGAGTAACAGTTCTTATATGCAAAAGTTATATTTCTGAGATGGATTTTTAAATTGTCACTGTATTTAAGGTAAAGCCTTTTGCCTAGATTCCTTTTGCAAAGTCTCCTTGATTGTTTCATCAGTACCTGGAACTATAGGGTTGTCTAAGAATAACTCTTTTTTTACCTTTTGGAAGAACAGCTATAGCAGGGTCTGAGAGATTGTTAGTACTAAGACCCATATGCCATCCACTCACCTACTTATTTTCATTCGTATCAGATACAAACAGCCAACCCTTCCTATGCCAACTGAGTTCTTGAATTTTTAAAAGTAATTTAAAACACCTCATTGAGCTCTTAGTTATTGACAACTGTCCCCACCTCTAATTTTGGATCAGTAGCCAGATTCAGAAGAGCAGAGGGCAAAGACACCTTTTTTTTTTCTTTTCCTTCTGCTAGTCCAAAAAGTAGTGGAGAGATCCTTGCTAACATGGGAAGATACAAATAATTATAAATAAGTTAATCCTCTAAGCTGGAATCTGCTTAAAAGGCGATTAAGGTACCTTACAGATAAGGAAAAAATATGAACAAACTACATACTAAAGGAAAAAATATATGTGTCATTCTGATTTTTAGCCCATTAAAATACTTGTCTAATATATGGTGCTGCTGGCCAGCTTTCTGGGCCTCTGAAGTGACCTACTGGGTACTTACCATTTTGGCTATTTGGAAGTAGGAGAGTTGTTTTACTAGTTCTTCACCACTTTGTCTAGGTGCAGTCATGAGTTCCGTGCAGAACTTGGTGACCCTGCATGGCTGACTGTTCTTTCTGGGGAGCAAGCAGTTCCAGGGTGTTATATGGGGAAAACAATGAATAAAGTTCAAGAGAGTTATAGGCCTGGTCGTGCTGGCACAGGTTCTTGTTGCCATGAAAGGAACTGGACATGGACTTGAATAGCACATAGAAATGGAAGCAGGTACTGTGAGAGGAATTTGTAGGGGAAGGGTAACTATTAATACTTTTTTATCCAGGGAAGAAAGAAAAAGGACAGAACTCACTTGGTTCCTAGTAAATGTGACATGCAAGAATCACTCATTTTTTCTGGAAAAGGATTTGAGTTGTCAAACTTGGAATAGATCATGGAGGAGCTTGTGTTTCTCCATGAAAGAGGGAACTTCCAAAATTCTGGCTGTAGAATCTCTTGGAATTCTGTCAGAGTGAAAGAGCAAGATTTGATCAGCGATACAGTAAAAAAAAAGTAAATTTATGTAACTTTTGACAAATCATTGTCTTTTCTGGTCTATCTTTTCCCTCTGCCTGCCTTTGCTCCATTCCTTTTTCTTTAAGATTAACTTCTATTTACCCATCTTGTATGTATATAATTCGGGCAGCTAGTTGGCACAGTGGATAGAGTGCTGAGCCTGGACTCAAGAAGACTTGCATCCAAATCTCTCCTTAGACATGTGTTAGTTCTTTTTTTTTTTTAATATAAATTTATTTATTTTTAGCTTTCAATATTTACTTCCACAAGATTTTGAGTTCTAAATTTTCACCCCATCTTGCTCCTCCCCCCACCCCAAGATGGCGTGCATTCTGAATACCCTTTCCCCTAGTCTGCCATGTCTTCTATCTCTACTCCCCTGTTATCCCCTTTCCCTTCTATTTTCCTGTAGGGCAGGATAGATTTCTGTACCCCCTTTCCTGTATTTCTTATTTCCCAGTTGCACGTAAAAACTCTTTTTTTTTTAAACTTGTGTTTTTAAAACTTCGGGTTCCAAATTTTCTCCCTTCCTCCCTCCCCACCCACCCTCATTGAAAAGGCAAGCAACTCAACATAGGTTATACATGTGCAGTTATGCAAAACACTTCCATAGTAGACATGTTGTGAAATATTAACTCTATTTCCCTTAATCCTATACTGCCCCCCCATTTATTCTATTCTTTCTTTTGACCCTGTCCCTCCTCAGAAGCATTTGCTTCTGATTACCCCCTTTCCCAATCTGCCCTCCCCTCTATCAACCACCTGCTCTCTTGTCCCCTTCCACCCCTATTTTCCTGTAGGGTAAGACAGATTTCCATACCCAACTGAGTGACACATATTGGTTCTTTAACCTCAGGCATGTCACTTAACCTCTCTGTTTTCATTATTTTCCTCCTCTATAAAATAGGTGTAATAATGGTACCAACTTCCCAAGGTTGTTGTTAGGACCAAATGAGATAATATTTGTACAGTATTTAGAACAATGGCTGGCCCATAGTAGGCACTATGTAAATGTTAGCCAATATTATTATTATTTGCATGTTTTCTCCCTCATTAGAATGTTAGCTCTTAGGTTCAGAGAGCACATTTTTTGCCTTTTTTATATCTCCAATACAAAGGCTCTGTGCTCAGTATCTGGCACGTAATAAGCACTTAATAAATGCTTCTTGCCTGACTGACGATGGCATCTCACAGAATCATAGAATTTGAGAGCTGGAAAGGACTTCAATAATGGCATAGTCCAATATATATTGGTTTAAGAATTTGATTTCTATTCCATTGATGTTCTAGACATACCTATATCATACCCAGATTTCTTATAAGATTGTAGAGTCTACAAGGATCAAAGATCATAACTCTGGTGTTATGATAGCAGTTACCTCAGAGACCAGCTAGTCCAACCTCCACAACTTTACAGATGTGGAAACTGAGGCCTAGGAAGATTAACTGTTAGAGTCAGGATTTGAACTTAAGGCCTCTGCCCCCAGAGCCTATGCTTTTCCCGTGGCACCCTCAAATATCACCCTGAAGGCAAATAGCTTGGGACTTATGGAAAACACCAGCCCTTCAAGACATGGGGTTGAAATCAATTAGGAAATAGAATTCTCATTAGTAGGAAGAGGTTCTTAATGGGCACATTAAGCCCCAGAGAATATCATTACTGGGGAAAATTTAATTAAAAAACAAAAACAAAGCAGGGACTCCCAGTTTGGTTAGAAAGTGAGGGTTCCTTCCTCCAACCACAATTAGAATGTTTACTTAGGGTGCCATTAAGTATAATGTTATCCAGTGCTGGGCTTCCAACATGGGCTTATTTCTCTCTGGGGATGCCAGAGGGATATTTTAGTATCTGAAGCAATTGTGATGGGGGAAGATTTCTACTACTGCCTCTCAGGCAAGTATTATGCTCCTGGTAATGTGTCAAGAGGCTGCATGGCTACTTGTCCACTCAATCGCATAGGTTTGTCATGATCATTTAAGCACAGAGGCTAGACCAGTTTGTCTAGGAAATAACCTCAAGAATGACAAAATATTTTACAATCCTGTGTTACTGAAGAAATTCTGTCTTCACCCATCTTACCTCTTAAGTACTTGAAGTCAATAATTTTGAGGAAAGCTTCAACTTTGGGGATGATTAGTGTCAACTTTGTTATTATCTTCTCAACACTCAAGGTCAGGGTTTTCATGTCAGAGTCATGGACCCATTTTTCCAGGATACCTTTTAGCTGTACTGTGAAGGAACAGGGCAGGGATATGAATCACGTCTTGTTTCATAGGTTTGCTTTGATTCTCCTGATTCTAAGAAATGTCTCTGAGTCTCATTCCTACTTATTGTTAGGCAAAAGCTGCTTTCCTTAAAATTTACCATTATTGTTCTGGTTCTCTCCGTCAGGCAGGAGGTACCAATCCTCACCCCACTTTAGAATTCAGCCCCTTGATTCATCAGAAGGCAAGAGGGACAAAGGGACTGGAAGCAGGGGAAGCTCAGCCCTATAGCAAGTCCCTTCTTCCCTTCCAAAAACTTTCCAAAAATTAAGTGCCCCTTTCCCACAGAACACTGCTGTGAAAATGAATTAAGTCACATGTAGGAGGCTTATGACCAACTTTTGTAAATATGAGGGATAGGGTTTCTAGATAGCTGAAGGATGAAACAGTATGAAAGCTCAACTCCATTTTTCTCACATAGGCTGCAAAAAAAGAACATTATTTATGTATACCCAGATGAGTAAGGAAAATTGAACTAGATAGTTTCCAAGATTGCTGTTGTTCCTCATTCTCCATATAAAAGTCATTAAACATAGTCAAGAAACTCCTACCATGTTCTCACCTTTCTTGGTAAAGACCTTGAGCAAATAAGTAGTCTGCAGAGTCTGCTAAATGAGAGAAACTTCCCTTTCTTCTTGGAGCCCCTATTTTGGGTTCTTCACACAAATAGTTTAAAAAATTTCCCATCTTGTTAGTACAATGTTGAAAGAAAATGAGCCACAGAGACTATCCAGTTGGCCTGCAGCATTTTTTAAGGACCTCTGTTTCCCACTTTTTTTTTTCTTGTTTCTTAAAATTCCTTGTATTTTTGAAAAGCTAAAAGAAGCAAGGCCAGGGATACCAAGTGATCAAAAGGAGTGTACCCTTCCTGAGCTTCAAATTTCAAAGGTCCAATTCCGGATCATCTCCTCTCCCCCAGGTTGACTATCAGTAGAGAGATATGAAAACAATTTCAGTTGCTAGCTAACCCGTGTAAAAGAAAAAGTAACCTTACCTTTTAGCATCAAAAATCCAACCAATGAGTCGAGATCAAATTCCCTGTATCTCTTCTCCAAATAGGAGGTGGCTTTCTCCAGGGCAGAAAGGATCACTTTCCCCATGGCAATCTTGGTCTCTGACTGGTGTGAATTTTGGATAGACAGGGGTGGTAACTGCAGCATTACCAGCAGCAGCCCCAGTAAGTACATATCTCAATCCTTTCCACTCAGCCAAGTGGTTTGCAGCAGTTCCTGTGCTGGATGTCTCACACACTACTCTCCCTTGCTGCCCTCTCTCACTTCTCACTGGTCAAAAGGAGGAGCAAAGATTTCTACTACCCTAGACAAGCTGATGAATGCCAACTCTGCACTCTAGGGCAGCTGGTTTGGAACTGGTCTTAAGTAGCTATGTCAAAGTAATGTTGAGTATGACTTTGCCTATAGGTTAGGACCTCAGAGTGAGAGGTGGGGAGGGGTCAGTATGATTGGATTAAGTAGTAGCCCTGCTTGGGAATACATTACTGCCACAGGACTTGGAAATCCTTAGGCACAGCCTGATGAGGGAAGAGTGGGGGAAAGAAGGCTTATTCTCTCCCAACATTCATGTTCTGTAGTCTCTTCTAACTAGATGATTTCTAGGGTCCTTTCAGAACTGTATCCTAGGACTCTACTCCTAACCCCAGACAATTCTGCCCTTGACTTTCCTGGGTTCAATTATCAACCTTGTACAGATGGCTCCCAAGTCTATATATCCAGCTCTGTCTCCTGAACTCCAGTCCTGCATTCCCAGATGCTTACTGGACATCTCCAGTGGCATTTCAAACCCAATGCATCCAAAATGATATCCATCTTCCTCACCTAGAGTTACTTCTCCTACAAGTTTCCCTATTTCTTTCAAGGTAACAATCATTCTCTAGTCATCCAGATTTGTAACTTTGGAGTTATCCTTGACTCTTTCCTGTCCTTTACCAGCTATTTGCAATCAAGCTTTGTCTATTCTGTTTCAACAATATTTCTCACATCACATCCCCCTCTTAGTTCACATGGCCACCAGCCACCCTAGTTCAGGCTCTCATCACTTCTCACTTTTCTTGTAACACTGAGCATTTTAATTGGTTTTTCTATTCCCAACTTTCCCTCCCTCACATCTCATTCTCTATAATCTGTCAAAATAATCTTCCTATGGGATCAGTTGACCATGTGCAGTAAGCCATTGCCAGACCTGTACATGACAAGTGAGGGAGCAAGCCCTGCGGCACAGATAGAATTTCTAAAAAGGGAGTCCCTAGGCTGTTACATAGGAAAAAATTTGCTCCATCATAGGTAGCTATGACTGAAAGGATTAAACAACAACAAAAGCAGCTAAAATGCAAAGGTTTCTTTGATCTAATCACAGCAAAAGTCTTTGTGTTGGTGAGGTAGAGGAAAATCACCTAGGAGTTTTGAAACCTGAGCTCAATCAGTCTTTTGCTATAGAAAGAGCCCAAGCAGCTATCCTACCCCCCTCTCCAAACAAGGACAGTTTTCAAAGTTAATTTTCTCTTTCATAGGTCTATTTTCTTTGTGAAATAGAACTGATGGAAGCTATCAAAAGTGTCTGTTTTAATTCTCTTTGTTTAACTGGGCAGAATTCTTTTCCTTCTTAGTCTGATGGTCTTCCAGAGAAAGGTGATTTCTTCTCTCCAGTAACCCAGATAAAGGAGTTGTTCCTAATTGGAAGCTTCTGAGCTTTCATTGGATGTCATTTTCTCTTTGTATTCTGATCTGGCTACTCACAGGAAAGAGATAGAAAAGAGCTCTCGCTCTCTTCTCATCTATAGAGATTTAATCTGTGTTGAAAAGTGTGAAGGAACTAAATTTGTGTCTCAAATTCGTTAGTCACTATCTTTTTGGTGTGGATTTCCTGAGTATGATGTAGATATGCTGAATTTGCTACAGGAGTTTTCCTGAATGTACTCCCTTGGTATTGTTCAAGTTGATCAATCAATAAACATTTATTAAACACCTACTATGTGCCAGATATTCTGCTAGATACTAGGAACATAAAGACAAAAAAATAAACAATCTCTGTTCTCAGGGATCTTGTATTTTATCTGGGAAGCTAAGAGGTACATACAGAAGTATATACAAAGAATAACATAAATATATGTAATATGTTAAAGGACCCAAGACTGTTCTTCCTCCACTAGAAAAAGGAGGGAATGGAAAATGCATTCTAAAAAGTAATGGAGTTAAGGGTGCAGCCCAGGATGACCTATTCTGCAAATCTGAGCGTAACCATACAGGAAAAAACATGGCTATTCAATTGTAAAGAAGAGTTTGAAAGAAAGAGTTTGGAAAGAAAACCAGAACTGAAGACATTATTTTTCAATACCTGAAACAACAAAAATGCAGGAGTGAATAAATGTAGCAGGTAAGGATAGCAACAGTAACAGAGTAGCAAGAGAAAGACCAGTAAGAGACCACTTTTTTTTGGGGGGGGTAGGGGACTGCAATTGGAATTAAGTGACTTGCCCAGGAACACACAGCTAGTAACTGTCTGAGGTCAGTTTTGAACTCAGGTCCTCCTGACTTCAGGGCCAGTGATCTATCTACTGCACCACTTGGCTGCCCCAAGAGCCTGTTTTCTAAATCTATTCAAGGAGATAGGATAAAGGCAAAAATCTTAAAGAGGTAGAGATGAAAAGGTGGATGGGGGCATTATAGATAGAACCTGGTGACCGTCTGCCTACAGGTAAATCAATTTTTTTTTTGGAACTACATTACGGCATGGGAGGGGATATGAAAGAGGAGGAAAAGAACAAAGGGAGATAGAAAAATGTGTGGTGTGCTGGTATCAAATCCAGGGTTAGCAATGAGGGGAAGGTCATCTCTGTCTCAGAGAGAGAAGAGGCTACAGGGGAGTAGGTGATGAAGATTGGGGAAAGATTGAAAAGGGGATGGAAATTTAAGAGGTTTTACTTTGGACGTGTGGGGGGATTCCACTGATGAATATTTTTATGGTGTTCAGAGAATGATGATTAAAGATGGTTAATGAAGGTAGATAAGGTCCTTACATTAAATGAAAGCTGTGGGATTTGGTCCTTGAAAAGTCTACTTTTCCTACATTGGGAAAGGGGAAGTTGGAACCCCTAGGGGCAACTGGTACCTGGAGGAGTGAGAAAGTGAGGAAGGAGATTTTAGGCAAATGTTGGGGGCAGGGGAGGGGATGGGAGTAGGGAAGAGAGCTAGGGGAGAGTATAGATCAGTGGTAAGCTGCATAATCAGGGACATGGTGGGGAAGGGGCCCTACCATGGGGCAGTGTTCTCTGTGACACTTGCAATAATTGACATTGTACTGTGAACAGTGGAAAAGGAGAATCCATGGAGCAAGCCCTACAAGGGAGTGGCAGAATGAGTCTAAAGTGGAAAGCCTAGAATACCTTAGAATCTTTTTTTTTTTTTTGCTTTTTGATGAGGCAATTGGGGTTAAATAACTTGCCCAGGGTCACACAGCTAGTAAGTGTTATGTGTCTGAGGCCAGATTTGAACGCAGGTCCTCCTGAATCCAGGGCCGGTGCTCTATCCACTGTGCCACCTAGCTGCCCCCAGGATCTTTGATTACATAAAGAATACAGAGAGAAGAGAGAGACTAGCTAATTATAGGGGTCATGAATCAGAGAATGTGGGTTTAGAGTAGACAGAGAGGATAAATAATGAAGAATCAGAGAAAATCTTTTGGAAAGGGACACCAAAAAAATTTAAAAAAAAAACAATGAAGAGGACTAGGTTAAGGGGAGAAGGGGAAGGGGGGGAATCTATTTGACTAACAGAGGAAAAAAGAGGGTGAAGCAATATATGACCAGATAAAAGCAAGAGAGTAAAAGGAACTAATGAACAAAATCCTAAAGCGGAAGGGGTAACAAATGAGAAGAGAGGCTAAGGGATAAGGGGAAGAGAGCCAGTGGGAATAGACTCATTTTAAAAAAAGATTAAAGTTAAGTTAACTGAAGGAATGTAATACTGTGTTTACAGCAGAAGTGGGGAGTGGGGAGGAATCTCAACTTGAAAATAAATTTTAGAGACATGGAAGAAAATATAAACCCAACTCTTATAACTTTAAATATGAATGGATAGATAAATTCAAAAGAAACAAACAAAAAAGCCATAGAAACAATAAGTAAAATGAAAAACTAGTTCTTTGAAAAGACTAAAATAATTGAAAAAATCTTAGTTAATCTGATTAAAAAGAAGAGAACAGAGAGGTAGAGTCAAGATAGTGGATTACAGGTAGCAACCCAGATGAACTCTCTTAATATTCTTTAAAATAATGTCCCAAATCAAACTTTGGCATGGTAGAGCCAAAGAAAAGTTAGGGTGAAACATTTTTCCAGCCTAAGAAAACTTGGGATGTCAGCAGGAAAGGTCTGTGATGCTGGGGCGGAAGTTGCTCAGAGCACAGCTCACTGGTGCTGGCATCAGTGGTGGGCCTTGGAGGCACTGCAACAGCAGCAGTGGCAACAGCTTTGGGAGCTTTCAGCCCAGAGATGATGGCAACTCCATTGCCCATCATAGTTCTGGGTTGCAGTTCCAGGGTAGAGAGGAGCACTTGTGGTCAGTCACAAGGGAGCCAGCGTCCTGGTCTCATTTCCAAGGCAAAGAGTAATTCTAGCATTTGTGGCTTCAGAAGAGTAGGAGACCTGATCACAGTTCCAGGGCAAAGAGGAGAATTAGTGCTTATGACTGCAGGGGAGCAGGGGCCATTTCTGTATAAAGACCAGAAAACAGACCAAGAGATTAGCGACCACACTTCTCACAGGATAATGCTACCTTAGAAGCACATAAGACCTGCAGACATCCAGAATTAGCTCTGAAAACAGCAGCACAAAAAAAAAGCCTGATGCTTGGGACAGGGCCTCCCCACCTCTAAGTGAGCAGAGCCCAACTTTAACAAAAAATTCAAATTCAAGAAATAAACTGGAAAAATGAGCAAAATCAACCACAACAACAAAAACTTGACCATAAAAAGCTACTATGGTGGCAAGGAAGACCAAGACACAAGCTCAGAAGACAATAATGTGAAAACATCTACAAGACAAACTTTAAAGAAAAATGCTGATTGGACACAAGCCCAACAAGAATTTCTAGAAGAGTTAAAGAAAGAGATAGGAGAGGTAGAGGAAAAGTCAGGAAAAGAAATGAGAGTAATTCAAGAAAGTTATGACAAGACA